ATAAAAATCAAATTAATAGGTTACATAAGTTACTAAGCTAACAGCTGAACATTTCCAATTGATATATAAAATAATATAATTCCTGTGTTTCATCGTTTGCCTTGGCAGCTCAATTTTAACGTCGATTCACTGACTGTATCTGGTATCCAGTATTGTAGGAGCCTAAATGCAGTTTATTTTAGTTAGAATATTTTTTATTAAAAAAATATGCCAATTCATAGGTAACATAAATATTGTTTGTGATTTTATGATTCAAAGGGATTTAAAAGGATTGAAGATTGATATTTACATGCTGTATGTACAGTTCATTGAGATTGCATGAAAAAGACTTTTATTGTGAAATTTATAAACCTTCCATCAGGTGATTTAACTTAATGCCAGGGGAGCGTGGTCAGTTGGAATCAGAAGGAGAATGGAGCATAATAGTTTTTTTACCTCGACCTTCCCAGGCTCCGTTGGACCTAAAAGATTACATTTTGTGGATATATTTGATGTTTTTTGTAATGTTGCGTTAATTTTACAAGTAAATCGTTAAAAGCAAGAAGTGGATTTATTTTCGAAGTATTTTTTGATGCAAGGGAGTCTGACGAGCGTCAAGCTAAAGATCCAATAAGGACTGTAAGAACCCACAAGTATTAAACCAACATTTAGATCTTATTAGCAACAGTACAAGGGATACTTTTGACTCAATGACTGTAGGACTTGGTTTTTAGATCCTTAACTTGAACTTGAGAAGACATCAGACATCTCTCACCGAGGGCAACTCCAGAATAGAAGAGCATCCAACCCCTCTTCAGAAGACTTGTTCCATAGCCAGAGCTGTACATTGAGGCGAGGCTGACTGTTTCTAGCCGAGATCTCTCTGCCTCACATTCAAACTCAGGCTCCTTCCCAACCATAAAGGTGATATTTCGTGTCCCAAGAGTCAGCTTCTGCAGCCGGGGATTGGTCGGTCAAGGTCCCCGTCGTTGGCTGCCACCCGTGTTGCAATGCACCCGACCCCATAACTTTAATGTTGTATCTAAAAAGTCAATTTGTTCTTAACAAAGTACATTGACATATCTGTGAATATTCTCAGACATCCAGGTTCTGGTCAAGCTTGAAAAGTTCAGTATAGGCAACAAGATGTGAATTTTTATAGAAGGCGTTTCAAGAAGCTTCTTCAGTTTTACCTGATGTGGGGGAGCACTGAGATTAATATACTGTAGGTGTAACAAAAAAAAACTGGAGAAAAAATAAATAAAACAAAGGTGGCTCTGGACCCTCCTACTGGGTGGGCCATGGAGGTCAACTAGGGGAGTGTTAATGATTCACTACAATGAACATGTTGTCGTTCTCATTGACCAGAGCCAAGTGTATATTTTTATCATACAAATTCTTTTTTTCAAAAATATCTTCCCAATTGTAATGTCATGTTTAAACCAAGTTAAAATCTAAAATGACAAAAAAGGTTTAGATATTAGGGCAAGAAATGATCTGTCTTTTGTCAAAGCCCAAAATCTGTCTGGGTTGTATCTGGTGGTGCTCCAAAATGTTATTTAGGATGACCAACTAACATGGAGTGGATAGCTGAGATAAGACAGATGAAAATGTTTTTTAAAAAGTAGTTTCAGGAAGTATCTCAGTAAGAGGGTGGCCTCACTCCAATAACAGCTACTGATGCACATGCTTTTATTCTCATTGTAACATTAACTCTCAGTATCCAATATTCAACATTCAACCATGCACATAGCTTTTTTGAAGGCCAGTTAGGAGTAGTCTTGCGTTCGTTGGTGGCCCAGCCTCCCACTTTCAAAGACAGGGTGATCTGATTCTCACCTGTCAGGAAGCCGTGCGTGGTGATTTATGGCTCTCTTCGCTAAGCAAGAGCAGGTATCCCAGTGAGCTGCGTGCCCCTGCTTTTAAACTAATTTCTGCATGCGAAATTTCCCTACCTGTACTTGTGTCATTTTTCTTAATGACTATTAAG